AAAAAGAATATTTATACTAAAATTAGTATCTTGATTGAAGGATTAGGGTGACTGTAAGTGATTACGAAGCAAAGAAATTAAAAAGAATGACCCCTAGCTTAAATGAAGAGAAGATCATATAATTGGCTGAGATTGACAGGCTCAAATTAGGGGATGTGATGTGTGATCTCGATCATCATGCATGTCCCCACCTCTCAAGATTCTCACTCCGTTATCCTTCTATTTTATTTTTGTCTAATTCTGTAATTGTCTTTGTTTGTGCGTACTTTGAAATTGGAGTGTTAGTGGGAGTGGGGAAGACGATGCTTTACGAGGAGGACTTGTTTGAGGTTGTATTTGTGGCATCAACTGACCACGTGGCTTGTCATGTTCTGTTCTTCATCTTCTTCTTTTTGTTTTTTTTTAAGTGGATCTGAAATATGTATTAGGTGAAAATTAGTGTACACTCTCATAAATGTTAAAAGCCGAATAAGAAAAATAAGCTCCTAACTCTGAAATTAAAATGTAACCAAAGATGAAAGACGTTATTAATTGGTAATTTTTTTATCTCTTTATTAATTGGTAATTAAGATGGAATAAGATCACCTAATCTTTCAAGCTTTGATTTGAAAGAGGCCATAAAAGTTGATTAAAAGAATAGTATCTCAGATGGTGTGTGATGGTGGGAAGAGAAGGGAAAATGGTAATAATGAATGCGGGATTGTAGAAGGGATTGGAAAGTCAAATGTAGTGGTGATGATGATTGAGATATGTGAATGAAGGTGCCAACTGCCAAAAGCGGCGTACATGGTGTCGCTATAATACCCTTCCACCCAATCTTCGCTAATACTCCTAACTCTCTTTCTCTTCTCTGCATCCTTCTCACCACTCACAACCCGCCACGTGTTCCATCACACTTTCCTCCTTCTCCTTCTCTTGCACTCACCCGTTGCTATGTCACTCTAATCTCATGCCCAGGCACCAAAACCCAACCACCATGGACATCATTCCTGGCAAGATCAGAAAACGAGGTTGTTCCTCCTCGGCCTCCTCCTCCTCCTCCCTGCTTCACAACTACCGCTTCAAGAGGACTATTCTGGTTGGGAAGCGGGGCGGATCCAGTACGCCCGTGCCCACCTGGAAGCTCATGAGCTCCAGATCTCCTCTCCGCCCACTCGCCTCCTCCCCAAAGTACCCGCCGTCGCAGACCGCCGCCAAGCCTCGTCTGGCTCCGGTGTCGGCCAGGAAGCTCGCCGCCACCCTCTGGGAGATGAACGAGATTCCTTCGCCCAGCTTGAGGTCCAAGAAGGAAGTCAGAGCCAGAGAAAAGGTCGCTAGGTCCATGCGTTCTGGTTCTTTGCCTCCCCATTTGTCCGATCCATCACACAGTCCCGTGTCCGAGGTACCTTCTCTCGAATTCTCTTTTCTTTTTTCTTTTTTTAACTAATTAACCAACTACATATTATATCACTGTATATGTTTCTCAGAGTTTTGTTTTTGTAGAGGATGGATCGATCTGGAACTGGGAGTCGCCAGAGAAGAACTCCTTCTGTTTCTCACAGACCGAGGATCCCTGAACACCATGTTGGCCCTTTGGACTCTCTTAGCAATGCCAGTCTCATGGAGGTATTTAATCTATGTTAATACTATCTAATATAAAGCCTTTATACTATGAGAACGGTTCTGGCCTAATTGCGTAACAGATTTTCATAACGTATTAAGTTTGGTTGAGAATTGTGTCTATCTCTCTTTATGAACATTAAATGGGTGGGCTCCTGTCATACTTGGGAGATGGACCCTCTCTTGGAGATTTTTATGTGAACATGTTACGTGAAAATTATGTTTATTTGTCTGTATCTCTGTCTCTTCGTTGATGATGAATGGGTCCTGCAATCTGGTGTCTGTAAAGAGAGATATAGCCGCTGATGTGAGATCCATTCCTCCCAGAAATAGAGAATTACAAATTTTACATGATCTTTGTATTGTGAAAATGTCACATGAGAGAAGGCATTCTCGTTGAAGTTATTTATATTTTTAGTTTTTCGGATAGAAGTCTTTTAAGTTTTTGTTGTTGTTTAAAGAGGCTGAAATCCCTCCAGTGTGAAATGCTCTGTCATGTACAACTATTGGACCTTTTTACCTCTCAGTTGCTTGTACGTTTTCAGTAGAATTTGGAAAAGTTTGGAGCTTCTTTCGATTAAAAGGATGTATAGGAGCCAGCTGCAAGGGATTTGTGTGCAGTGCACCAATTGCACACAGTCCCTCGTTGATACTCTTACCAGTAATTATATTTTTAACGTGTAAGCACTTCGATGTTTGGTGACAGATTAATATTTCTTCTTGACATGTGAATAGAATATCTATACTGAAACAGATATAGCAATGCCAATATTCATATTCACATCAGAATGGCCAAACTACATGACAAAACTAACTTATTGTTCTGTTACTTTGATTGGAAGATTCTGTTTTGTTCTGTACTTTTGTATAGTTTGAAATGTTCTCTGTACAAGCACAAAACACTTGTCCTGCAATTCCCCCATTCAACTTACAATTGCATTCCGCTTTTCTCTCAGCCTTATGTGATGCCCATGCCTCCTTACAGTTGCTTCTTGGTTTGCAGATTGAAACCAGATCCCGAGCACAGACCCCTGCTTCATCTGCTGTTGGAGTTAAATCACGTTTAAAAGATGTTAGCAATGCTTTAACAACATCTAAAGAGCTACTTAAGATTATAAACCGCATGTGGGGTCATGAAGATCGTCCTTCATCTAGTATGTCCTTAATCTCAGCTTTGCATACTGAGCTGGAGAGGGCTCGCCTACAGGTCAATCAGCTTATCCAGGAACAGCGCTCGGATCAGAATGAGATAAATTATTTGATGAAGTGTTTTGCTGAAGAAAAGGCTGCTTGGAAAAACAAGGAGCAAGAAATTGTTGAGGCTGCAATTGAATCTGTTGCTGGTGAACTTGATGTAGAGAGGAAGCTCAGGAGACGTCTTGAAAGCTTGAACAAGAAGCTTGGGAGAGAACTGGCTGACACCAAAACATCCCTTCTTAAGGTTGTGAAAGAACTTGAAAATGAGAAAAGAGCAAGAGAAATTATTGAGCAAGTATGCGATGAGTTAGCAAGAGATGCTGATGAAGATAAATCCGAGATCGAGCAACAAAAGCGAGTGTCTACAAAAGTTTGTGAAGAGGTAGAGAAAGAAAAGGAAATAATGCAGCTGACTGATAGGTTACGCGAGGAGAGAGCTCAAAAGAAACTCTCCGAGGCAAAATATCAGCTTGAGGAAAAAAATGCAGCTGTGGATACGCTCAGGAATCAACTTGAAGCTTTTCTAGGAAGCAAACAAGTTAAAGAGAAAGGTCGCAGTTCCACTCACTTGAATGATGAAGAAATCGCTGCGTATCTGAGCAGAAGCCGATTAAGTTCCCACTTCATTGAAGACAAAGAAGATGATGGAGGAGAGGTTGACAATGGAGTAGAGTGTGAGGAGGAATCCGCTGAAAGTGATCTGCATTCTATAGAGTTAAATATGGACAACAACAACAAGAGTTATAAGTGGTCCTACCCTTCTGAAAGCAGATTTGATACAAGAAGATATCCAATTGAGGAAGAAGTGAAAGGTAGCAGGAGGTCTACCTCTGGGAGGGCTTCAAGGAGAAGCACATCCCTGCAAAGGAGTATATCAGACGGAATGGAATGGGGTGGCCAAGCTGAGAAGCTTCAGAATTCAGATGGGATCGATTGGGAAAGCTTTTATGAGCTGGAAAAGCAAGCACAAGGAAAAGGATACGGGGATGAAATGCAAGGCTATAAATCAGTAAAAGGTTTAAGGGATCAGATATTGGCTGGTTCGAAGATTGGATCTTCAAGAGGTTATGGCAGTCCCACCAGACAATTTTCTCAGCCTTGGCCATCACGTGATCTCACAAATAACTTTCAGGAGAGACCTGCCACA